ACAAGAAGGCAGAGGATCCAGAGTTGGGGAACTTTCATCTTGAGTTTTGCCTTTCCCGAAGAGCTACTGAATCTATTTACCTTCTGATAGAAGCAAACAAACTGACAGAGCTTTACCTTGGAATAAAGAAGTCATAGTAATAAGCCCGAGGGGAAGGAGCAAGGTGCGCTTAGGGAAAGTAATATAGGGAGGAGAGTTTTTTTGGTTTCTTCGTACTGTGAAAGAAGATGAAGGAAGAAGACGCTTTACCCCTTGTTTAAAGTTAAACCCTAGTTCAAGAAGAATAGGACGACGGAAGATGCATGCAGCTAATAGCCTGATTTTCTTACTATTACATATTCCTATAATAGCAGCTATAAGCTATACTATATAAAACGGTAATTTGACTATGTTTAAGAGGGGAGAAAGAACCAATAAGACTCGATTGAACCAAGAGAAGAGGATTTCATTCATTTCCGGAGTAAGTAGCTCCACTGTAAAGCTACTAATTCATTGATTCTAGAACTGTAGAGGATAATTCTGCTTTTGTATTGACTAACCTTGTTCAAGAAAAGAGACCCATAGAATGAATAATTTAAAGAAAGAAGGAAGAAGACAAGACGCTTTACCCAACCCTCGTAAAAAGATCACAATCAGCTAGCCGAGGTGAGGGGGAGAGAGAGAAACCAGAAGGTTAATCAGTAATAGTAGTAGTAGTAGTCCAGGAGTTTACTGTTCCAAAAGATGTAGGAGCTTGACCTTCTATCCGAACGCTTTACTTACTTTGTTCAAAAGGGACAAGTGATTGAGCGAACCCGAAATTCATCTTTCTTATAGGCACTAAAGTAAAAGAAAGAAAAGGATCAAGCAAGAGAAATTAAAGAATAATATAGGCTCTGGAGCTTGACCTTCTTCTCATCCAGCTTGCCTAGTTCCCTTGTTCAAGAGTGAAAGCAAGTAAAGATTGAATATGCGAGTGAAGGAACCGAAGAATGAAGTCCAATGCAGAGTGACTCTCCCCATAAAGGAGAATGAATTCATCTTTTTCGAGTCTTGACTAAAGGTCAGGTAATACGGTAAGCCAGGGGCAGGTTTGAGGTTCAGTCTTCTTTGTTTACCTCCTACATCAATAAGGAATCAATAGGATTAGTCTTTGAATAGTTCAATCAGGCCTTTTTATTTACAAGGAAAGTAGACAATTCCTAATCAATGGTCCTTACTTAAAGTCTAATGATTTGTTTCGGCTTTGTTCCGGGTCAGGTTCAATAGTTAAGTCGAATTCAGTTCAATGCAGGCAGGGTTACGTACTCTCACTCTCTTTTCCTCTTTCACTGAATAGGGTTACTCATGGAGTAAGTTAAGTAGCGAGATGAACGAGACTGGAAAGGACACGAAGGACAGAAGCAAGTAACCTATTATTCTATTTTGACCCCGAGCAAAGAAGTCATAGCCTGCCAGCACAGAGTTGACAGTGAAATCAGGTTACGGATCACAACACAAACAATTCCATTCCCTTCTTTCCTTCCAATGTAATTACCTCTACTAAAAAATGGCTCTAAACGGAGAGGAGTCATTGTTTACAGTCGAGTTCCAGAGTGAAAAAGAAGGAACAAGTTTAGTAGCTCACAGGTCATATAGGTTCGGGGGCAGGCTCATGAGCAGTTCAAGAGTGAAATCCAGAAAGAAGGGTTTCATTCAAGAGCTCAAGTAATAAAATAATAAAGGGGAAGGAGAAAGAATAAGAACTATTTCGCTTAGTTCAATCAGGAATCGAAGAGAAGCCAGCAAGCCTACCTATGTTACAGAGAGAGCGAAAGAAACCCAAGTTCAAGGGATCAAGAACAGTTAAATCTGAATCTAGTTGGTTAGTAGCGAACAGAAGAAAGAACATAGGAGAAGGAGCTTGACCTAATGATAGTTTAGCGGTAAAGGTGAAGTAGGGAAGGAGAATGCATCCATCCTTAGTCTTTACTTAAAGTTCCGGAGAAAGAATAAGAATCCATAGAAGAATAGAGAGAGGTTCGTTCAATATCAGTAGTTCAGGAGCGAAGACGAAGAGGAGAAGAGTTTACTGTTCAATGACGTCAGCAGGATTTTCTTATCCAAAGGAATCCGTAGGAGAAGTCTAATGAATCAGGAGTCTCCCTGATTGTTGGTTGAGTCTTGAAAAGCAGCTAAGGAGCGCAGCAACGAGACAGACAGAGGCTGGTTCAGTAGTTTAGTCTAATTCTTCTTGAGTCTGAACCCTGATTGAACTGTAAAGAAAGGTAAAGAAAGTGACGGTTCTGGGGAAGGAGTGAAAGAACTGACTTAAACTTAGTTCTTGATTTAGTTCAAGAAGGTAGGTAGCTGATCTTGATTGAATTTGTTTTGTCTTTCCTTTCAGGTTCAGGAACAAACACAGACCTACAGACTGAGACCAATGGAATAGGGTTACGGAGCTTGACCTTGCTTGTTCAATCAGGTGATGGAGATGATCTTTCTTTCCTTTATATTTGTCTCTTTTACCTTTACCTTGTTCAATCAAGATAATTAATGTTGAGTCTTGACTTACACAGTTCATACTCTCATTCTTGAATAACTCCCAAGAACTGCACACTGTTTGGCGGGGAATTCCTGGTGAGTCTTTCTTCAAGAAGGACAGGGATGAAAACACCTATTCTATTTACCTTGTTTAATTAGTCAAAGGAGAATGAGACCGAATGGAGAGGATCAAGAGAAGAGATCGACAATGAATAGGTTTGGGGTTCACTATTTGATTGAACGAGTAGGTCTTTGGTCAGGTATCTAGAGTCAAAGGCAAAGGGGAAGGAGTGAAGTTCGGTCAGTCTAACGAATCTTTCTTACAGGAGAAGAGGAAACTAAAGAATCGGAATTGAGAAGGAATAGAAGAAGAGAACGAAAGAATCAGATCAAGATTTCTCATCTCTATGGTATGGGATTAAATTCAGCATTGACTTTCTTTGTCCTATGGATTGATTGAACTCGGCCGGCGGTAAAGCATATTCAGTAGCTCTTTTCTTTCACTCGGTAATTATAGGAGTTTGTTTGGTAATAGGGGTTCCCCGGAGAATGAATATTGTCTTGTCTTACTTTCTTTCGTCTTTCAAAGCAGCTATATTGATTCTAGAACTGGAAAGGATAGGTTCCAGTGAGAGCAATGGAATAGTGAAACCGAGTTGGAGAGGTTAATGAGCTAATCTTTCTTTCCTTTCTTCTTGACTTAATACAACATTACCTATAGCCCTCAAAATAAGGGAAAGATAGACAAAATTCATTCATGGTCTTCACAGTAAAAGAGTGAAAAAGAAAGTAGATGAACTATTAAAGAGGGTTTACAGTCTTTGAATCAATGAAGGAGTTAGCAGCTTGACAGTGTTTGAAAGCCGAAACTCTTTATGTTATGAATGAGAGATTAATGAGACAGAACTACTGCCCGTTCACCTCTATTCCTATTCCCTTCCTAGATTGAAGGGGGTAAACTCCTGTCTTACCCCTGTCCCTTCTCTTCTGGAACTGTAAGAAAAGAGGAAGAAACTTGACACTCTACTATTCCCTTGCCTTCTTGAATGAGGTAAATAGATAGTAGTAGTCTTTCTCCTGCCTGAACTGAATCACCTCGTCTTGGCTACTCTTAAAAGGCATTACATTACTGGCGAGTCAATTCTCTCTCTCTCCTTATTCTTCATCTTCGCTTCTTCCCTTCTAACTTCCAACCTTATCTCTATTGGCATCTTCCTCTTGATAAACTACTTAACCTCTAACTGAAGAAGATCTTCTGCATATCTATTCGCATCTTAGTATATGTAGTAGTCTCTCTGCTGTAAAAGGAAGGCTTTTTAATCGCATCTGAAATGACTCCAAGTGCATGCACGTACATTTCCCTATCAATTCCCTTGACCTCATCTCAAGGGTTAGGAACTCTGGTCATTCGGAGTATTTCATCAGCCAAGCACCCAACTATTTTGATTCTTGAACTGCTCTTTCCCCTATAAAGCTGTTTCTTTTCCTTTCCTATTGAACAGTAGTAAACTCGTTCTCACTGCTTCCTCTCCCCCTTCCTCTTTTTCTTCCTTAAATCAGATGAGAGTAAGGACAATTAAGAGTTAATAACAAGGAAATAATCATTAAAGAAGAGAGAGATCTTTCATCATCCATTTATTGAGTTGTAAACAAAGACTCCTTATGTATGAATGAGAGTTTACAGTGAGGTGAGACTCATCAAGCAAGACAAGAGCTACTGTGACAACCGAGTCAAGACTAAAGAAAGATTCGTCAGCCAGAATAGGACTATTACTAATTAATCTGCTTGACTCTTTTATTCTATTCCTTCCCTATTTTTTCTGTCATTGAACTCTCGGGGTAAAGCTTATTCTTTCACCTATTCATTGTCGAAAGGAAAGAGACTTCACTCAAGCCGCATGATCCTCAACTCCTTATGCAGTTATGGTTAGTTATTCAAACATTATTCTTTCACTCGGTAAAGCAACAGGATGATCAGCTCAATCACCTCTCCCTATGTTTAGGGCCATGTATGAGGTAATTACATTGGAAGTCCAGAGAGAGACTGAACAACTTTTTCTTTCTTACTTGCTTTCACTCCTGCCCCTAACTGAACCTATATGACCTTCGCTACTTCACCTCGACTTCTCTCTAAACTAAGACTCAACTCACTATTCATGAGAGTTCTCAATTCCTATTCTCTCGTTCACCTCTATCTATTCTCTGACCTGAACCTGACCAAAATGAAAGAAGAAGATATTCCTTTCTTTACTGTCGAGCCAATGAATTAGTTGCATTACAAGAGAATTGATTGAAGGGAGGGGAGAAATGAAAGATTAATTTGACTTGCCAGGAGGGAGAGTATGGGAACCTTAACCTTATAATGGATTAGCTACTGAAAGAGAGTGAACAGGGTAAACTGGACGAACTATTCTTCTTCACCTCTATTCCTTCCCTTAGAGAAGGAATTGATTGAAGATTACAGGAGAGTTAATTCATGACGAACTATTCTTCTTCACCTCTATTCCTTTCCTTAAAGAAGGAATTGATTGAAGATTACAAAAGAGTCAATTCATGAAATCCAGTACCAGATTAAACTGAAAAAGAAAGAGAAGATGCTGAACCAGCCCCTTCTATATTAGATTATTACTACCTTCGCTTCTGGAACAGAAAACTCATTAACCTCTATTCCTTTCTATGTTCGTTATTCGACTAAACTACCTAACCTCTCCCTATTTTTTAGGTGATGTAACTCGTTCTCGTGGCTTCTTCCTTCCCTCATATTACCTAAACCTTTAATTCGATTGAACTTCTCTACCTACTTACTTTACTCCTCTCGTCTTCTTGTGAAGCTGCTTCGCACCTTTCTTATTCATTCTGCTGAACCTCTACTCTTTCGGCTCCCCCTTCTTGAACTGTTTGTTTCATGTCTTCGCTCCTCTATTTATTTATTGGTTGAGCCGCTTCGCTCATTCGCCTAACTATTCGTGTCTCATCGCTCCTCTCCTCTCCTCTCTGAGTCGAGTTGCTTCGCTCCTCTCCTTTGTCTCGCGTCTTCGACCCTCGTAAACTATCTGCTTCTCTACTTACTCTTGAACCCCTATTCTCCTCACTTGAGAGTCGAGTAAATTCATGCAAGAATCTTCTGAACCTTCACCCTCTTTCACTCTTGAACTATTCCTACACTCGGTAAACTTCCATTCCATTGTCGGAACCTTCTTTCACTCCTGAACCTTTGACGATATTCCCTATTTATTCACTGTAAACTCATTCACCTCTCCCTACTGACTCCTGAACCGGAACCTGATGTTCTTTCCTTCACCTATTTATTCTTGAACTTCTCTTTCTCTTTTCACTCTTTGACTCTCCTCTCCTGTAAGAAACTAGACTAGAATAATTGTTCACCTTCTTTCGTTCTTTCATTAAGGAAGTCAAGACGAGAGCTCAAACCTGAACCTGATTGAACAGTAAAGCGCTATTTGAAGAACCTGAACCGGCGGAACCTTCTTTCACTCCTCTCCATACTGACTCCTATTAATGATTCTGAACTCATGAACCAGATTGAACTTCAAAAGAAAGAGAAGCTCATAAACTTGAACCTATTCATTGTCAGTCTCATTGTTGAGCTACTGAACCTGACGAGAATGCAAGAAGGGAAAGAGGAAGAAACAAACATGAATTATCCTGAACCGTAACCGATAGAGAAAGAAGGTAGAGTCTCTACGAAAGATTCCTTCTCCTGAACCTCGTAAACAAGGGTTGGTTGAACTATCTCTTTTCTTTCCGAATCCAATTCAAGATTCATTCTCTGGACCAGGAAGGCAAGACTCCTTATTCATTCATTCGACTTTACTGTGAAAGAAGAAATTTAGGGAGAGTGAAGACGAAACGAATCATGATCCTTTAAAGGAGAGTTAAATGAATTAATTAGCTATTGAACCCTGCCCCTTCCCTTCGCTACTTTCGGCCCCGATATGACCTTATTCTGATTCAAGAGCTACTGAACGAACAACGAACAAGGCCAAGCTCTTTCCCCTATTTCTTTCTGAATGAGACTGTAAAGACCATGAATTAGAAAATTCTATCTTCTGTCTATTTTGAGGGATATTTTTGGCTAGAGGTAATTAATTATTAAGGATGAGAATCAGGCAAGACAAGAATCAATGAATTAGTAGCAAAGACTCAATCTCAAACCTGGACTATTCTTCTTTCACTCTTTCTTGGGTAAAGCGGCTGGATGATAGATAAGAACCTTCCATTGCCTTTTCCTATATATTCTGGATTTGTTCCTTTCTTTCACTATAAACACTCTACTCAAGATGAATTAGCTGACAGGAGAGTCCATTTATTCAATCCAGAACCAGAACCTCTACGATATTACATGACCTTCCCCTATTTCCCTTATTCATTCAATTTGGGAGAGTAAACAAAGAGCTACTTCACTTTACAGGAGAGGAAAGAGGAATTCGACAGAACAGGACGGAAGGAAGAAATTCAGGGGTTAGAAGCAAATTAGCTTTACAGTCGAGTAAAGAAAAGAAGAAGAAAGACTCATGAGACTTAACTACTGAACTTGTCCCTTCTTGAACTCCGGCTGGAATCTATTCTTTCAATGACTGAGATGGAACCCCAAGAAGGAAAGATTAATGAGACTGAACCGGAGCCTCTCTTTATTCCCTTTAGTTATGGTTCGTTATTCTTGAACAAGGTCAGTGGTTGACACGAGAGCTCATTCACCTCTATTCCCTTATTCATTCAATCCTTCAAACACAGTAAACAAGGTCGCTTTGCTCCTTTCCTTTATATGAGAGGAAATTCAGTGAATCTGAAACAATACAGGAGAGCTCCGGAACCTATTCAAACAATGAATTCAATCCGGGAACTCCGTATGTATTAATTATCCTTTATAGTGAAAGAAGGTGGAAGGACAGAAGATGCAAACACCTATTTACCTGATGAATGAAGGAACCTATTTATGAAGGAACTGTAAACCCCTGACCCGGAACCGATATGCCTTGAGCTACTTAACGAACTTCACTCCGGAACAAAGAAAGAAGGGAGACTAAAGATCAAGCTCCTACTTCTTGAATGAGGTAAAGCATATTCTTTTTGATTCCTTCTTAATAGCTCTGGAACCAAAGACTCTATTCCCTTCCCAGATTGAACAACTTGAATAGTAAACTCCGATCCTCGGAGAGTAGCTTCGCACCTTTCCAATTCATGATCCGATTCCTTAAACCTTTTCCTCGGTCGGCTTCTTGATCTGATCCTTGATTTCACTCTTGAACCTTTACAGTAGGTAAAGCATATTCAAGGAGGATGATTCTTGAACAAACCGTAAACACTCCACTCCTTATGAATGAGAGTGAACAACTGAACCATTACAGGAGAGGAAAGAGGAAAGAAAGCATAATGAGAGAGTTAGAGTTTACCTTTCTAAAAAGAAAAGAATAATCAGGCAGGAAAGAAGAAAGTGAAAACGACTATCCGAGTTTACAGAAAAAAAAGAAATTCAGGAGTTAGCTGCTTTGAAAGCCGAAACCGAAACCCTGAGCTACTTCACCTTCACCTATCAGTTTCACTGCTTGCTTCTTTCTCCTGCTCTTGAACCTTTACAATCGGTAAAAGCATATGAAATCCTTCTTGAACAATAAAAACAGACTCAACTCAATGAGGATGAACTACTGAACTTGAACCACTAAACTATCAGTTTCTCTCCTGAACTACTGAACCAGAACCGGAACAAGAGAGAGTGAATGAATTAGCTTAACTCCTTTACAGTTCTAGAATTAAAGGAAAGAGATGAATTCGAGTAACTGAACTAGGCCAAGCTCATTCGCCTGGTAACCTCGATCTCACAGCTTCGCTCCTTCCCATGAACCTCTCCAACAAAGGAAAGCTATTTTGAACTATTCTTGTCTCCTTGCTGTGCTCAATCACCTATTCTTGACCCGCTCTTTCTCCTCTCCCTTCTTGTCCCTATTGATTCTTTCACTCGAGTTTCACTATCTCTTTGATTGAATGACTAAATAGGTGTGGGTCTTTCTTTCTTTCTTTAAGTCAAGGTTAAGGAAAGCTTAATGAGATAGAACAGGAAGGGGAAAGACTCAAGCAAGACAAGAGGAATTATTCTTCTTTATAGTTCTAGAAGGAAATGAATGGAAGGGGAAAGACTCAAGCAAGACAAGAGGAATTATTCTTCTTTATAGTTCTAGAAGGAAATGAATAAGCGTTGCTTTGAAAGACTCAACCTCAAGATGAATGAGTCTGATTTCACTCTTGAACGAACAAAGATGGCAAAACTATTTGATTGAAGAACCTTAACTTAATTTCACTCTTTCACGAGGTAATGAGTCAAAGATGGCAAAACTATTTGATTGAAGAACCTTAACTTAATTTCACTCTTTCACGAGGTAATGAGTTCGGAAGCCTGGAAGGATGAGAATAAGGAAAAGCTCCTACACCTATTTATTCTTGAACAAGGTTAGTGGTTGACACGCTCATTCACTCGGTAATTGACGATATTCCCGTCAGTGATTGTGAGTTATTCAAACACTCGGGTTAAACTAGGTAAGCTAGATGAGAAGCTCCTTTCTTGCTTTCACTCTTTTACTCGACTGTAAACAAAGAGAAAGATCAGCGACTTCCCCTTTTCTTAATGATAGTCCCTTCAGTGACACAAAGAAAGAAGGGAGAGAGTGAGATAAAGAGAGTGAGAGTAACCCTGCATTGTACTTCTTAAACTAGGACTCCGATCCTCTTCGAGGGGTGCAATTCCATTTCCTGAACCGAGAGCTACTTCACCGTACCCTACTATTCTCTCAATTCATTCAATCCTACACCTATTCTTTCAATTCATTCAATCCTTCACCGGACCTTTACTTTATAGTTTTTGAATAAATTCAGGGACTGGAAAGACTCTACTCCTACTGATTGAACAGTAAACTCCTCCCCTCTTCGAGGAGAGCTCCTTAGCTCCTTAGCTACTTAGCTACTTTTCAAGACTCAACCAACTATCAGGGAGACAAGAGAAATTATCCTTTTTCAATCTGGAACAGGACAGGAGAGCTACTTATACTCTATTTCTTCCCTGACCTTGCCTTTATAGCACTGAGCAACTTCTGGCCCCGCCCGATATGACCAGAAGGAGGTAAAGTGGCTTCCATTGTCTTATTTCAGGAGTTAGCTGCTTGACAAGAGAGCGATTTACCCTACTCAGGAACAGGTACAAAGAAAGAAGGAAGAAGACTCAGACAAGATTCATTCCCTGGGGAACCGATATTCCCGATTTTTTAGGTCATTTAACTCTTTTACATAGGCTGGATGAGAAGAATCAGGTAAAGCTATTTTACGGTCTCTAATCTTTCCTCTCCCCATGTTATTCACTATAACCTCGGGAAAGCATATGAAATGAATTGACTCTCTCTCCCTGCTAATTGAATAGTAAGAAAAGAAGCAAGCTCATGAACCTGAACCTGATTTGACTCATGAACGTCTCCAACAAGGGTTTAACTATTCGAGAACTCGGTAAAGCTATTTTACGATCTCTTTCCCCTTATTCTGTTCCTATGAAATTCTGAACCTCGTAAACTCTTCTTCTGTCTTCGCCTCTTCGCCCTACGGGTCTCAGGTCTTTGCCCCAGCCCCTCTAGAACTCGGTCTCATGGCTTCACCCATTCACCTTCACCTCTACACCCTATGAAGTTAGTCAAAGAGGAAGTGGTTGACAAGAGAGTTCATGAACCTCTATTCCTACTCCTTATTTCAGGAGGTAAAGCACTCTATTTTCTTTCACTCTTTCACAAGGTCAAGCTAGTAGAAGAAGAAGAAAGATATTCCTTTACAATTCGAAATCATAAAAGAAAGACAAGATTCATTCTCTGTGGGGGGCAAAGCATTCTTGTCGTATTACTTATTCACAACGACTCTCGGCAACGGATATCTCGGCTCTCGCATCGATGAAGAACGTAGCGAAATGCGATACTTGGTGTGAATTGCAGGATCCCGCGNAACCTCGTAAACAAGGGTTGGTTGAACTATCTCTTTTCTTTCCGAATCCAATTCAAGATTCATTCTCTGGACCAGGAAGGCAAGACTCCTTATTCATTCATTCGACTTTACTGTGAAAGAAGAAATTTAGGGAGAGTGAAGACGAAACGAATCATGATCCTTTAAAGGAGAGTTAAATGAATTAATTAGCTATTGAACCCTGCCCCTTCCCTTCGCTACTTTCGGCCCCGATATGACCTTATTCTGATTCAAGAGCTACTGAACGAACAACGAACAAGGCCAAGCTCTTTCCCCTATTTCTTTCTGAATGAGACTGTAAAGACCATGAATTAGAAAATTCTATCTTCTGTCTATTTTGAGGGATATTTTTGGCTAGAGGTAATTAATTATTAAGGATGAGAATCAGGCAAGACAAGAATCAATGAATTAGTAGCAAAGACTCAATCTCAAACCTGGACTATTCTTCTTTCACTCTTTCTTGGGTAAAGCGGCTGGATGATAGATAAGAACCTTCCATTGCCTTTTCCTATATATTCTGGATTTGTTCCTTTCTTTCACTATAAACACTCTACTCAAGATGAATTAGCTGACAGGAGAGTCCATTTATTCAATCCAGAACCAGAACCTTTACGATATTACATGACCTTCCCCTATTTCCCTTATTCATTCAAT